TCTCATTAACAAACTTCCCTGCCTTTCTAAAGTCTGCAATTTTTAACTGTCCAAAGGTTCAAACATCAAAAGACAAATCCCAGAATCCACTATGTTACATTCTTCAAAACCTCATATTTTCAAAGTCAAAAAAATTTTGTAGCCTGGATCTGGTGCTGTTGAATCATTTCACAACAAAAGAGACACCTGTATGCTTTTTTTTCCCCAGATATCCAAAAATAGAAAAATAATGGAAAACTATTTTCAGACAAAATTCAGCTGATGATGTAGATTTGGGATTCTGGAATACACTTAAATGGAGGATGAAGCCAAATAACAAAAAAACCAACCAACCAACCAAAAAAAATCAATTTGAAAATTACAGAGCTGCTGTATTTAAAAGGCAGATTCCTTACAAATCACATATTTTTGTTAAATCTCCACCACCAGGAATAAAAGTTTTCACTGAACTACTACTGAACTAATTCCAGTAATGAGATACATACTAAGACTCAGTTTGCTCACAATCAAATTAAGGTCTCTGAGTGAAGGATGCTCCCTCAGAACGGGAATTCCTGTATCAGGACATAAATGCTGAGTCAAATACAGCCAAAACAGGATGGAGAACACACAAATCCATACACAGCCCTTCAAACAACACCACTTGGGCTGTAACAGTTCCGGAAGCAGATCCTGAAAGCCCCCAGTCAGCTCCAGATGTTTGCTCAGATCATCTCCAGCAGGAGTGTGATACCTCCCAAGTGACCTCTCCTGCTAAATTCTTTCCCTGGCTTTTCTAGAGCAACATCCTCCAAAGTATCTATTTAGCACAGCTGGATGGGATACAACATGATGTTGATAAGACACAGATAAAAATAAACTTTAAGATCAAAGCTTTTGTTTGACAGTTAACCTGCTAGTTTCCTTTTTTAGCTGTTACAAATAACTGGAGCTGGTTTCCTTTTTTTATTTGAAGCAGAAGGCAATGAGCAAAAGATTATTTCAGTTCTTGCTAGAGGGAATCCTTTAAGGTTTGCCATTTTTATCTCCTGGTCTCTTATCAGAGATGGAAACTCATTCTATTTGGAGGGCTTCCTATTCCAAGGACTAAGCTAAACTACAGGCTTACAATTGCATTTACCCACCAGTGTTTGGGTTTATTCAGGTTTATACCAGGAGAGAAACGAGATCCTACAACATTTTTCATCTTCAGAAGTATCTTTGTTGGTTTTGGAGATACCTGAAAGACATGCTAATGAACAACAATTTTACAACTCCCTCTCCTTTCCAACACAACCTGCTTTGAAAGCCTCCCTGAGAGGTTTTCCCAGTAAACTGTCGCTCCAGGCACATAAGTAGTGAGCTCATCTTCCCCTAAGTGGGTCATGGGATGCTTAAGCACGGGAGGGTTTCAAAGCAGTATTAAACTTTTAGAGACAGCAAATTTTCTCCTGGTGTGCAGCCTGAGAGCAGCTGGGGGCTTTGAACTGAAAGGCTCCCAGCTGGAACTCTGGCAGGAAGGGGTGCAATGATTAATTCACAGGCACAGCAGCTCAGAGCTGCAAACAGAGGAGGCCCTGGTGCTCCTTGGAGACAACCCCAGCACTGTGAGGCAATGTTTTTATTTACAACCTCCTCTAAGATAATATTAGGAACACATGCAGAAGCACTGCTTAACCCTGACTCTTGCTACAGTTGGCCCACATCAGATGGAACCAAGAACTGACAGGAGCACACCCCCCTTTACATCCCATTTGCATTCCCTTTGATGTCAGTGGTGCAGGGCTCCTACTGGGACGGGGAAAGAAGCTTCAAGTCCAATAATTTCTCTCAATTTTATTTAAATATTTAACTTCTGTATGACTTTCCCTGACAAAGCTGTCCAATATCCAATTTTCCTTCCCACACGTGCACTACACTGATAAGAAATTCCCTCCCAGCCTTTCTTTGGGCAATAATTCATTCAGTAGTGTCTGTTTGACCACCACCCAGCCACCTCCACTGTCCACCCAAAACGAACCTGGAAAGACTCCAGGGATTATTCTCCAGCAAATACAGGACCTCAGCTTGAAAACAGTGTTATACAGGTGGGATAGGACTGGGTCAGGACCTTCAGAGTGGCAGAAATCAGTTTGATCTCAGCTGGGGCAGTTCAGAGGAGCCACTTTCCAGTTTCCCTGTCCAGTAAAGGAAAGGCAGCACTACCAAGGATGACCCAGATCTCAGGTGAGCTGAGTTACCTTCTCCAAGTATTTATCTCTCCCCACAGACTGTGAAGGAAGATAAGGGCAAGCAGCCACTTTATTTAGGTGCCTTTATTAAGAACCTAAAATTAGGCAAGATTAATCTGGGCCACCTCTTTTTGCCAGTCACTGAGAGGGCAAAGGCACTGAAATAGGTTTTCTACACGTCACTCACGGCCAAGAATCTCAAGAAGTACCACACCAAGACTAATTATTTTATATTTCCTTGTGACAGTCACTATTTCTCTCCACCTTTGCTGTGTGACACTGTTTCCTTTGCTGCCTTCCCTGTCAGGCAGTTTTTCAGGGCCATGCCAGCAGTATAAGCAGCTTCTCCCAATAAGCTGCTTGTTGTTAACGTACAAAATTTATTTCACTTTCTGCTGGGGGATTTTCCTCTGGTAATTGGTTTTCTCCATCTGTGCTTATTTTTCAACTAGTGAATAAAGGATGTTTTTTTCACTTCTGACTGGGATTACAAGGTAAACTGAGCCATACACAATTAACATTGGTGAGTCCTACTGCTACTTTTCCCTTAAACGTAGCATTTACATGGCCAATATTTTACATCGACTATTACACTCTAAAGTCATTACTTTATAAGCAAAAAATAAGTTTTATAAGTAGTGCTATATCTTAAATCACACTGATATTTAGAAAGTGTCTAAATATACAACTGAAAGTCAAACCCCTTTTGTGCTTCCTCAATAATTTCAATTAAAAATGACCAAAACATTATTTTTGCCATTTTTAACTTGGAACTCTGATTTACCCTGGCCTGTTCTAGTCTTGCTGTGGATTTTTGGTGATTTTTGGGACACTGACTGGCTTAATTAGCCTCTCTATTAGGCCTCATCTTGGCATCACATGAATATCCTTTCTTCATCTGCTGCTGCCCAAAGTACTCCCTGCACACCCTTTGGGCTCTGAGGTAGAAAGTGTATCTGTGTTCAGGCTTATAAAGGTACAAAAATATAAAATTCTGTTTACTTGAGTAAACATGGAATTAGAAATCTAAGTTTAGTTCAGTGTTTGGTCTCTTGGCAATGGGACAAAGCTCTCAGTCTTACATTGGTGGAGATGAAGAAAAATTTTCTAGTTTGGTTCAGAAAACAATCTTGGGAGCAAAGGAAAAATATTTGCAAGTTTCCAGTAGAATTCGAATGAGAGTTTTGAGCAAAACCAGATTTTTTTTTCTCAGTCCCAACTCATTCATCCTTTAAGCTGCCAGTGCATTTTTTTATTGATTTCAAAATTAAATACTGGCTTTTTTTAATGTGAAATAACATTTTTATTTTAAAAGGGGCAGTTACAAATGAACAAAAGTAAAATGGAACTCACAATTAAAGAACAATAATTTGTGATATCTGCACAGCTGATCCAAAGTGATTCTATGCTTTTTTTTCAGTTTTGACTGATATCAAGCAAAATGCCCATTCTCACTCATTTCAGCCACAGAACAAAAGCTGTTTTCTTGCCTCTGTGTCAGACACAACACAGGTAGGGTGCACTTAGGAGTAGTAAATTCTTCCATAAGAAGTATTTGGATCTAGTCAAACAATTCAGATATAGTCTAACTTCATATGCAGAGGAGATGAGAATAATTTTAGGTGACTACATAAAAAGTGAAATTAGTAGAAACAGTGTTAATTTAACAAAACCAAACAGGTTGTGAACATTTCCCTTCCATAAAATATTCCAATGGGACAGTAATACCCAGCTTTTAAAAGAACTCCTGTGAATAGCTGTCCTTCTTTTGGTCTGATTGCTGAGATAAACAGAAGTTTGATGCAAAATAAGCTTTTTTTTTTTTTTTGCCTGAAGATATTATCAGCTCTTTGCTTAATTTTCAGCCCTGGAGTCTGGAATCAGCAGGACCCTCATTCCCAGCCAGGCTCCCTCACCTGGCTTTGTAATCACAAACCCCCAAGAGATCTCACCCCACATTACCATCCTTCTCTGCATCCTCGCAGGTTTATGAATCAGCAAGAAACTTAATCAAATGCCACTTCTGTTTCCAACATATTCTTGATAGTGCCAGTTGTCTTCACAGGGCTGTGTTTTTTGTGTTCTACCTTGTTCCAGCTTGTTTTGCCTCTGAATGAAGTCTGGCTGTATTTGTAAATAAACAGCATTATGAGGGGCAAAATGGAAATGTCCACTACACCAAAGAGCACAGATGACACAGAGGTCTAGAATAAAAAAGAAGACCTTACATTGTTGCCTAAAAGAAAATCAAATTATGGCAGCTAAGCATTTGCAATGTTGGAAAAACCTCAGGACAGATTTGTGTAGGAATATTTTCAAACTATAGCTACACCCATAAACATCGATGACAGTTCTAAAAATAAAGGTTGCAGCTGAGACTGAGCTGAAAGCTGGGAGAAAGCTCTTATTATTTCGGAAAATGGAAGATGTTTGAAGCAATTTATCCCAATGTATAAGCTGGAAACCTGGAGGCATCACATCCACTGTGGGGGGAGAGGGAACCTTTCCTTAAAAAAAGAAATAATTTCTTGGACAAAATGTTCATAACCAAGATGTTTTAAGGTTTTGCCAGGGTTAAGTGATGGTGCTTAAGCTCTTTGTCCTACTGCTTTGGGCAAAAGTAAAGCAGAATTCATATTTATTCCAAATAATTTCACAAACCAAAGTGCACAGGGGCAGGGACACAGAACAGTGCACAGAGCTCGTGTTTAATAAAGTTTTCATGTCAAAGTAGCCAGAACAGGTGACTAAAAAGTAAAATCCTGACTCATTTTCCACAATTTTATTCAGCAAGCTCAGTTCTAGAAGGAGAAGAAAGTGCAACGATCGATTTCAGAGAGAGAAATGACACGGAATTTGAAGCCCTGCCAACCCTGGTGAGTATAAAATGCCAAGTAAAGGTTCCTTTCTGTTACCTGCCTGTTCACTGCCACTCGCTGCCTCTTCCAGTTCAGTGTCTCTCACTCAGCTTCAGTGAAACCAAACTGACAAACCAGTGTAAAAAAAACAAAACCCAAAACACTAAAAAAAGGCAGGGCTGCAATATTCTGCAGTCTCCTTCTGCAGTCCTGCTGAGAGGTCATCTTGTGTAGAAAAGCCTCCAGCTGGGAAAATCCATCAATTTGGTTTGTTTTGGTCACTGTACCCAAGTCAAGGATGTTGGGTGACAGCTAAAAAAGCACCCACAAGATGTGGACGAGCAAGGAATTTAAATGTTGCCTTCATACGTGCAGACTGAGTGTACTGAGGTTTTCTTTTCCCTCTTTTCCCCCCAATTCTTGTAGTTGCCCACCAGACTACACAATGTAACAAATCTCTTGCAGTTTGGACACCTGATGACCACAGAAAGTGCTTTTGTCCCGGATGGAGACAGTGACAATTCTACTGGTTATGGAGTTAACACAGAGAGTGTTGATGGTAAAAAAACCTCTTCATTTCTACTTTTCTATATCAAAGTTCTACTGCCATCTACTAAATAATATCTGGAAAATTCCAATATCAAGTTTAAGGTGTTCTCTTTATAAATAGACACAGCAAATACACTCAGAGCAAGGTGAAATTTTATCAGCATACGCCAGTCTCAGACAATTAAAATCTGATTTCTGTCTTAATCATAATTATTTTATACCAGGTATAATGCCCTTTTGATCTTAAGGTGATCACACTTAAGTTTCAGTAGTATATATCAGATAAATCAGTCCTCTAGGTTTTAATTTCTATTACTTAAGAGTTTTTTGTATTCACTCTCCCAGACTTTTAATTTGCTCCCTTCCTATCAAAAGGACAACCTCAAACCATTGTGACATAGTTGATAAAAGTTCTCCTTGCATATAGCATTACAAATTGGACTGAAAAACTCTGTACAAAGCAGAGTGAGTAATTATTCTCTTTCTGGCTTTACAGGTGAACCGAGTGGGGAACCAGAGAAAACTGAAAAAGGTATTAAGCAGAAGATTTGCTTAAAAAGACAAGGGGGAACAAAATTGCCAGGGAATCCCCTTCCAGCAGCCAATGGCTGTGCCCAATCTGTCCCTGAACTGCCTCCCCTGGTTCACCTGATCACTGTCTCCATGTCCACACCCTTATGGAGCCCTCCAGCCCAAGGGCATATTTTCAAACTATAGCTACACCCATAAACATCGATGACAGTTCTAAAAATAAAGGTTGCAGCTGAGACTGAGCTGAAAGCTGGGAGAAAGCTCTTATTATTTTAGAAAATGGAAGATGTTTGAAGTAATTTATCCCTGAATTTCCCAAACCTGAATTTCCCAAACCTCAGGCTGCTGAATTTCCCAAACCTCCAGCCCAAAGGCACTTTTTCAGGCTGCTAAACTTCCCAAAACTACTTGAGAACTCCCAAGACAGAAGGGAATTTCCCTGAGGAGTGGGATGCAGCAGAACAGCATCAGTGCTGTATCAGTCCCTCTTACCAGTGGTCTCCATGAGAAACACGCTGACATTCCCAACTTCTTCTTTCAGGTGGCCTGGAAACAATTGCACTGGTTGGAATAATCATTGGAATCGTGGTTGCAGTTGGAATCCTTGCAGGAATAGTGATTGCTGTCGTAAGGAAGATGTCAGGCAGGTACTCGTAAGTAAATTGCTAATCAGGCTTTTCCAGCAAGCCCCATCCTCTGAGCAGGGTCACAGGAATCACCTGGGAAATGTCTGGTGTTCCTATTTTGACTCAACAATCTATTTTGATGTTACACATTGCATCAAAATCAGCAAGAGCTGCATCACAATGAGGGGGGTCTAAAACCACAGAAATCAGAAAAAAATTGCCAGATGTTGTTATAATATCAAGTGCATGGGGTTTGGAATTACTCTCCTGCACAGAGGAAAAATTATCTAGGAATTATGAGAGGACCAAATCCTACAAGTACTAGAAAGCAGCTGAACATTGGGAATGATCTCTGCCTTATTCTTTGGTGCCATGCAAATCTAAAGTTCTGTACAAACTCCAAAGGACTAAGAAAATCTCAGGACATTTAAACAGATCCTGTGCACCAGAATTAGGAGAAAGGAAAACAGGAACTGGGAAGAGAAATAAAGTGGTGATAGGAAAGATAGAGAGGGAGGAAAAAAGATCAGGTATCTAACATTTAGGTAAGGATGAGCAATAAATGTCTGCTTGTTGTTTTCCAGGCCCTGAAAACAGTTGAAACAAGCAGCCATGCATTCTATGCCAGAAAATACAAGTGCTTCTTATTTTATAAGAACTAAAGACAATTCCTGCATTTGTGTGAGAAGATGATCCATGGAAAATATGGTCAAAGCATTCCAGATCTATGGGGATCCCACACAGCTCTAAGGACCACCCCCACTCTCCCCTGATTCCAGAGTATGGAACATTTCATAGCATTTCTACTATCCAGGATTTTACCACAAGAAAAAAGATTTTGCAGTAAGAAAAAACCCTGCAGCAAACAGATGTACACCTGAAATGTGATTTACAGGTAATATATGCTTGGGTTTTAAATGCAACCAAAGATTATGTCACATTACATTTTATGCATTTCTTTAAAAAAAAAAAACAACATATCCAGAACATATTCAGAATCTTTTAAGTGTTTTTGACTGGTTAAGTGCTTGTGGCATGTTCATCTACCACGTGATGTATCAAAAAGGAGGAATTAGCTTCAGAGAGAACCAGTAATTTACAAATTAAATATCCAGAAAATACTGGATATTGGAAGCTAAAATCTTTCCACTATTGATACAGATTTTCTGCTCATGATACTTATGTTATTCTGTGGCAAAATAGGGTAGGCCTGGCTGGAACTGACCTACCAACTGAAAGCTTGCTCTGCTGACTATTGCATCAGGAATTTCCTGCCTTCTCTTCTTGCAGAGACGTGCAGGGATTGAAATAAACATCCTGAATTAAGGGGTGCTTGGAAAATACCCACTTTTGATGGGTCACTTTAACCAGTTGCTCAGCAGCTTTAGAGCTGACACGTAGAAGCTTTTGAACCAGTGTATACAAACTTTGTCTTTCTGAGTGTCTCGTTTTCTAAGTGTGTTTGACAACGTGTGCAACACCAGGTCAGAATGTGGCACTGAGGAATAATGCAGCTTTTCTGTGGCATTTTTAGTGCAGCAGGACCTGAATGCACAGAGCTCAGAGCAAAGGCTTTGCATGTCCAGTGGCTGCAGTGCATCAGATTTTCTAAATCAGTGTTTGGTGTAAAAATCATGATAATCCATGAGGTCGATGATTGCTGAACGTGTCAACTTCTCTGTATTTGCTTTTCTGTTTCTTTTGTGTGCCATGAACTATCATATCAATCCAAGCTTTGGAAATAAAAATCATAATATAAATTGTCCTACTTTACAATAATTATTCTTTGTTTTCTTTAAAAAAAAAAATTAAAATATTTTAAACTTCCTTCAATTTTCCTGACTTATTTTGCTGCTTGTCTTATCAGTTCAATGCCTACAATCAATTCATTGGACATTGCTAAATGAAACTATAATTCAAAGCTAAACATATGAGAAAAAGTAATTCAGGAGTGTTTAGTTAGTTTTTGAGCTGATGAAGGCAAGCAGTCAGTCTGTGACCATGAGTAATAAGCTTTATCTTCATGTAAAGTCATATGGAAGCAGGAAAATTAAAGCTTCTTCTTGTGGTAAAAGAATAGTAATTTCTGTTAGTTTGGATTTAACAATTTCTTGCCTGTACTGGAAACTGTCCCATAAGATGCATTAATGCCTTCCCAAATGCTTGGCATATGGAATTATGAATTATTCACCCCTTGTAGGGAATAGCACAGATGTCACTGGTTTCTTCTGCAGCAGCTCAGTCACTGCTAACTTGCAAATGCCACAAAATCAGAAAAACATTCTTATGCTAGCTCTGAATTTTGGTTAAGCCTGAAGTAACAAGAGAAATGTGTGGCACTGGAGCAGACAACCTTTGTGGGCAGTTCTGAGTTTTCCTGGATCATGGACAGAACACCAGTTGAAATTCTGCTCAAGGACACTTTGCTTTGCTCCCACACCAGAATCTCTCACTAAAAGCCATTTTAATTTCATACACCAACTACTTAAATTTTCTGGTCTTAACTGTGCCTTTATAGTCCACCTTCTAGTTTAAGGGAAGTTTTATTAATCTTAGGTAAAGACCAATCCCTAACCAAACAGCCCATGCTCCTCTGAAACATTAGTTTTGGGCTTCCAGCCCTGGAGACTGAGTATGAAATGTTGTGCTGTGCTAAATCTGAACCTGCAAAAACGTGACAGCAATTTCCTTCTGATGATCAGCTGGAGTGCAGGACACTCAGTACATGGTAGAGGAAGCAAGGGTTCTGAAAAATCAGAAGACATCTATTGTTCTGAAAACTTGAAGAAACAGCAACTGCTGCTAAAATGGTACATTTGATATTCTGATGATTCACACACCTTGCTGCCTGGAAATCTCAAGTGTAGAACATTCCAGTCAGCTTCAAGCAAACCTCAAGAAACAATGGCTTGTTCATTACAATCTTGTCCATATTTGTTTTGTTATGTTACTGAATCCTTAATTTAATTAATCTGTAATTCCATGATACAAATGTCCTGGAAATGCAGACTAAAAATCCACACAGAGCTCTGTGTTTTGTATGAAACTCCTGCAGTGTTCTGTGACTGAGATGTCCTTGCCTTAAAATCCAGCTAGTTTAGGACTTCAAACGTGGATTGAACACAACCTACGTAGTTTTTGGTAGAATTTCTGTGGAAGATGGGATCTTTTCTGCTTTGTCAGAAGTCAGACAGCACATTGTCCCAGGGCAAAATCTTCTGTGAGCTCAAATGAATGATCAGCTGCAGAATCAAGGCCCAAGGTCAGGAGACTTCCTATGCATGAGAACACATGAGGAAACAGCAGCTCCATGCTTTGACCAGCTGGCCAAGTTTGACTTTTATTCACAGGGAACAACACTCAATAAATCAACACTTGCTTTTAACTTAAAGTCCTCACTCCTGATCACATTCATTCCTTTATAGTTACTAACAATAACGTTCCCTTTTGCAGCTTGGCTTTGAGTCATGAATGTGGCTCTCCCAAACAGACAAGCAGGCACCAGGCTTCCTGTGAGAGTGCCAGATGTCACTAAAAAATATCATAAACAGAGCTGTCCCCTTGCATTTGTGTCTGTGGGGAAGACACACAGCAGCCATAACCATGAAAGCAAGCTGAGGCATCAATATTTATAATAGTTCTGGACATTGATACAGCAATTCTTACATGAGTTCATTTCAGGCATGTTTTTTACCGTAAGAACAGAAAATGTCAGAAGAATGAATTCAATAAAACCAATGATAATTAAGTTTGCACTGGAAGAATTATGGAGATCAACTTACTCCTATAAATTTAAGAAGTGTTCATTTATAGTTAAACACCAATTAAAACGTGCAGCTCACTATTTTAGGAGCACTGCAGAACACCACTGCAAATATCTTAACCACATCTTATTTCAATAAAAAATAAGTACAACCTGCACATTAACACCTCTGTCAGGGTTTCAAACTCAAGTGTACTGAAGTATCATTCACATGAGAATGGCAAGTTCTGCCTTGATACTCAGATTAAGTGACTTGCCAAAGGTTATAACACAGGTAAGGGAAAAGCCACCAACCCAGGAATCTTTAAACATTAAAGCATTAGTCCTGTCACAGCTTCTTACTAGTTCAAATGAAGTGGTGTTCAGCATCTTTTATGGTAACATCATCCTTAATATTATTTAGTATAAGATAGGAACAAAGGACACAGCAAAAAAGCAACTTATTGAGTGCACAAGGCCCCTCAGGTCACAAGTATGCTTGGGTTGCTTTTGATGAAGAACCATGCCAGCTAAAAATAATTTCTGCTCCACCAGCCTAAGTTTTGCAGTGTAGATGCTACTGAACCACTGCAATTTAAAACTTAAATCATAACTGGCCTACACCACATCTGAAGACATTGTTATACCTATTTAAACTCTCCTACTTCACCAGATGAAGTGTCAGAATATCCCTACCCATCCTTTTGCAGACAGCTTTTTTTAAGCTCAAAGATTAATCCCCCTGAAATTCCCAGCATTTTGTTTTGTTTGACAGCTTCTGATGGATGCAGAAGGTAACAGGGGAGCTGCAACTTGACACCAGGTGCCAAAAGGAGGAGGCTGAATTAGTGCTTTGTCCATTTTTTTACAGCTGCAGCGTGGAGGCATTTATGTATAAATAAACTGAGCATCTCACTGGCCATGTGTCTTTGTCCAGGCCTTGTGGATTTAGGCTCCAGACCAAACCCACAGGTCCCCCTGCTCTGCAACAAACAGTCAAACTCCAACACAAAGATCCCCATTCAATCATGGAGTTTGTTCAGCTCCAGGCTGGAGAAGTCAGATTTTCAGACTCTGGTAAACGTTAAACTGGCAAATGTCTCAGCAGGCAAGGAGGGCTGAACATTCCAGGCATATCCAGAGCTGTGCTCTGGTTCCAGACAGCAGTTGGCAGGAATGATTGATCCTGGTGAGTTCAAAACCAAACAGTGCCATCCAGGAAAAAAAAAAAAAAATAAAAAGGAAATGGAAGAAGGAGAAACAGAGAACTGGAACACATTGTCTTCACTAAAATTTCATTTCATTCACGTTTCCAGATTGAGCTAAAATTGAACAATGGATTTGCCAACCTGGGGGGCTCCTTCAGGTGTTAACCAACATCAGTGTTCAGATAAACTTGGGGAAGAAATTCTTACAAATGTTACAACCTTATCTCCCAGTAGAAAAGGCAGTAAAAGTGACACATAAGAGTGATACTGATGCAACACAGCAAGGATCCCACCAACATCCAGGGAAAAATAGAAGCTCCCACTGTTTTTAAAGGTGAAAAATAGTAGAAAGAATCAGTTCTATTCTTTGGAGAACCCCTCTTGCTTCTTCCTCCAGTGCAGAACATGAAGCTACTGATGCTTTAAGAATATGGATTTGTCTCTACTCCATAAGCCCTTTAACTAATTTTTCCTGATGGGCATCTGGTAATAACTTCACAGCAATACTGACCAGCAAAAATGACCAGCAACTGAGTTATTTAATAAGTCATTGACTTGTTTAAACACTTCCTCCTTCCCTCCAGAGTGACTAAACATTTTCTAACAAGGCAATTTTAAATGTAGTGGTGTTTGTCTTAGGAAATTAGTACTGTATGTCTCATTTGAGCTGGGAAGCAACTCCATTTCCTGCTTTTATGAACCATGTTAATCCTCAAATAACACATTCCTTTGAGTCCTGTGGATATTCTGCCTCATGACATTTGATTCATCCTATGCAGGAAACGGGGAAGGAATTAGCAGGTTCAGCAGGTGTGCTCATGGGAAAAGAGAGAGGAGTGTCAGCTCTTCCTCATTTCCTATCTGCTGGAGGAAGAAGCCCCAGAGGAGCTGAATAAGCAGCAATAATGAGCATAGTGGAGGAAATAGCAGCTTCCTCCTTGAAGGAATGTCCTCTCTTGTACCAGGCACTGAGGCATTTTGCTGAGAAATAAGGGACAGCCAGAACTGTCAGTGTTTCCCTGCCTAGACCCCTACAAACTGCTTAGAGAAAGAGAATTGAGAAAAGTCCACTTTTCACAACTCACACAGAGCTTTAGAAAGTAGTGGTACAAGAGATTCTGACCTAAAAGCCAGCCCTTAAAGGCAAGTTGTATATAAAAAAATAATGCAGCAAAGGCTGCCTGTTAAAAAGTAGTGAAAGCATTTACTTGGTATAAGTTGCTGCATAAAGTTTCCTCTGTGATCCAGACCTGGAATTACCCTGGGCCAACTACTCCTGGCACTAAGATCTGTCTCTTTGTAAGAGACAAAATATTAATGAGATTATGAAAGCACAGATTACTATTAATCACCTCTCACAGGGAGGCAAACCCTGCCATCTGTTCATTTAAACCTGGAAGTGCCAAAGTTAAGAAATGTTTAACTCATAATTATGAAGTTACTCCTTGAAAACAGTTTTCCTGATGAGTTCTTCTACCTCATTTTGCCATGATTAATAATTAGCTTACTAACACAATAAACATGCTTGATTGAGTGGAAAGCAGCAACAGAAGGAACTGAGAAGGTAAAGCATGTCTGCATTTCATGGAGAAAACTGAGCAAGGGCCACAAGAATGACTTGAGATTTCAAACACCTGGCAAAAAGGAATGTATAAAGAATGTACAAGCAGACTATTAAAATTCAAGACTCCTCACTGCAGGCTGATGCAGATGCACAATGACTGCTCTCTCAGTAAGCTGTACCCGAGCCCCAGCTAGTGGTGGGATTTACTGATGGCATTTTTACAGCAAAAAGGAACATGTTCATAACAGAGA